TTAAACAAGAGTTTATTTATTTATTTTTTTCTTGTATTGTCAGTATTGTCAGTATACATATGTGAGGACCAGTGGGACCATGTTGGTTTTGTTTTTTTATTTTAGTACGTTCTGTTATTTGTATGATGCGTCAGGTATGTCTTCACATTATTCTCTATTGTGTGTACAATAATATGTAGCAGAGCAGCGTAAAACAGACTTCTTTCAAAAGAGTAACGAATGGAGTTTCTTACTCGTTCTTCTCCACTCGAATCGACATTTTGGAACGAGCGCCTAGCTTCACTGACGGACAGACTGACAGACTATTATTTATTTCAAGCGTTGACGTTTCAAAAGTACCTAATTATGGTTTAATTGAAATAAATGCTTTTGAGTTTGAGTTTGCAGAACTTCTCATTCCCACGGAAAAATCTAAAAAGCGCGATATAACCGAATTGAACGCGAGCGAACAGCTATTTGTTTGTTTGCCTGTCTTAACTTGAACAATAGGTTGCGGTCACCGGTGTCCTCGCGGTTTTTGACAGTTTAACTCGTCGAGTACCGGTTTTGTAGACACAATTATAGAACAATAGGTTGCGGTCACCGGTGTCCTCGCGGTGTTTGACAGTTTAACTCGTCGAGTACCGGTTTTGTAGACACAATTATAGAACAATAGGTTGCGGTCACCGGTGTCCTCGCGGTGTTTGACAGTTTAACTCGTCGAGTACCGGTTTTGTAGACACAATTATAGAACAATAGGTTGCGGTCACCGGTGTCCTCGCGGTGTTTGACAGTTTAACTCGTCGAGTACCGGTTTTGTAGACACAATTATAGAACAATAGGTTGCGGTCACCGGTGTCCTCGCGGTGTTTGACAGTTTAACTCGTCGAGTACCGGTTTTGTAGACACAATTATAGAACAATAGGTTGCGGTCACCGGTGTCCTCGCGGTGTTTGACAGTTTAACTCGTCGAGTACCGGTTTTGTAGACACAATTATAGAACAATAGGTTGCGGTCACCGGTGTCCTCGCGGTGTTTGACAGTTTAACTCGTCGAGTACCGGTTTTGTAGACACAATTATAGAACAATAGGTTGCGGTCACCGGTGTCCTCGCGGTGTTTGACAGTTTAACTCGTCGAGTACCGGTTTTGTAGACACAATTATAGAACAATAGGTTGCGGTCACCGGTGTCCTCGCGGTGTTTGACAGTTTAACTCGTCGAGTACCGGTTTTGTAGACACAATTATAGAACAATAGGTTGCGGTCACCGGTGTCCTCGCGGTGTTTGACAGTTTAACTCGTCGAGTACCGGTTTTGTAGACACAATTATAGAACAATAGGTTGCGGTCACCGGTGTCCTCGCGGTGTTTGACAGTTTAACTCGTCGAGTACCGGTTTTGTAGACACAGTTATAGAACAATAGGTTGCGGTCACCGGTGTCCTCGCTGTGTTTGACAGTTTAAATAACACATCAAATCGACCAACGCCTATCGACTTACGAAATAGTTTAGTAATAAGATCTAATAGATTTTTATACATTGCTTGTAGTTTACGCCTGAACACCGAAAGACTACCCAATTTTAATCCCTACTTAAACATCGGGCCTTCTCTGTCATTTTTCTAAGATTTTGTAGTGAGAGAACTACATTAACTGCCTCGTTGGCTGAGTGGTCGCAAGTGCGACTGCCGGGCAAGGGATCTCGGGTTCGATTCCTGGGTCGGGCAAAGTATTACTGGGATTTTCAAAAATCTCAGTAGTAGCACGGTGTCTGGAAATGTGCCCGGTATATGGCAATAGGTTCACCCCCTATTAACATTAATAGTGAAAATGAAAAGTGGGTGTTACATTGTACAGTCGCATTGAGTGCCGAAATGTGCACCTCTGCCTACCCCTTCGGGGATAAAAAGGCGTGATGTTATGTTATGTTATATAGAACGATATATACTTAAACGTGACTTAAAATTGAGTGACGTTTGAGTATTTCAGCGTAAGTAATACAATCTCAGGCTTTTTGCTTTGCTCATTTAACTCGTCGAGTACCGTCAATATAGACACAATTATAGAACAATAGGATGCGGTCACCGGTGACCGCTTGGTGTTTGACAGTTTAATAGGCGAGTCTGATGACGTACCCTGGACACTGGACGTTTCTTAAACCCTAGTATGCATCCGATACAGATCCGCGGAAGGCCTAACGGGTTGCCGGGGCTCCAGCTCTAAGACCAAGAGTAGGAACGGGGTTGTTTTCAGTCAGTAAGAGTCTGATTCCCTCTCACCTAACCCTAGGCGGGAGAAGTCACGAATAATTTTACCCCATCAAAAAAAAAAACACTAGTATGCATGAACATAGATATGCAAGACACGAAGAATGATGCAGGCATCAATAATATTTTTTTCCGATCTGAGATATTGAGACTCAACATTCATATTTTTGACAATTTCTTCAACGAGATAGTCACAGTTTTAACAGCAAACTGTCTTACAACACATTTTTTTATCAATGAGTAGCTAATGTCCGCGGCATTACTCAACTGGATTATGAACTTTGTGACTGACCTACGAAATGATCCTTATTTTCAATCCTTCGCGTTTATAAATATTTAACTACAACCGTAATGCAAGTCATATAGTATTATCCTATTTACGAACTTCGACTCCTATGTCACCCCATATTGAGTAAAATATGCATAATTTTAATTAATGATTCACATATATTTATTTAAAATTCTCTATAAATTACATTTTTAAATACTACTTACAAATTTAAATTAATAATACCTATTTAAAAATATAAAAAATAGGAGTCGACCAATACCGGGAGCATGGTCCAATTACTGGTGGTTAGGGCTCCAGAGACAGAAACCTCCTCACGAAACGCCGGTTCTAGGAGAACTGCCTTCTATATTATTATATTTATTTATGTAATACTAGCTTCTACCAGCGGTTTTGCTTGCTTGTCCGTGAGATAAAAGGTGGCCTATGTATTATTCTGGACCCTAATCTATCCCTGTTTTGAATTTCGTCTCAATCCCTTCAGCCGTTATGACGTCATGAAGTAACAAACACACAAATCCGCAAACATTCGCATTTTCAATACTAGTAAATAAGATGTGAATAGGCTTTTACTTGTCAGTATTTTAAAATTAAGAGAGTTCAAACCGCAATTTCCTATCTCTTTACTCTTAAGAGAAGCATTAAAACAAACTGGGAGGTGATTATTTATTCTACACGAAGCTTTGTAAGACTTGTCGTAGAACCGTAAGTGTTCTGACTTGAACACCTGGCACATATTACATTTTTCTTGGGAGATCGACACGACTCCACGTAAATTCTATTCTACGCTGGAAGGCTAGTCACTGGTAAAGACTAGGCTATAAGGGAGCTTCTAGGATGATTTAGTATGGTTATTTTGTAACCACTTTTCTTTGTGTTAACACTTTTTCGGTTTCGTAAAAATATTATTGAGCTTTACGACTTTATAATTTCTCTCAGTTCCGTCATTTTTTTTGTACAAAATATGCCAGCGTTTGGCCACCATTGAGCGATGACGTGGCCTATGATACAACACGTTTATCAACCGAAATTTGATTTTGACCATTAATAATTGTAAAAGAGAACCGGCACTTAGATTCACAGACAGACAGAAAGACGGACAGTTTAATTTGACGTTTCAAAATATCCTAATTAAGGAAATAAATGCTGTGACTTTGTTCTCAAATCCTGGAACCTATTTCTATAGGCGTGGCAATTGACTCAAAATATCATAAAATCACTAGTTGCTATCTCATAAAAAAATCAGGGAATATTATCGTTTCTGACATGATTCCGAGTAAAGTGTCGAATGTGACTACTTACTTGGATACTAGACCTGACTGTTCTACGAAGTACTCACCTGTAATGATATGATTACTCAAAAAGAATTGACAGGATGACAGTGACTGACATTTTTACTCTATTTTCATGTCTTATTCACTTTCTGAAGCGCTGTTACAAGTGCTATTAAATAAAATGCATTAATTTTGACAGTATAATAACAGTCGAGATCAATGACTGATCATTTTTCAAAATTTTTGAACTGATATCTGTATCTATCTATATATATATAAAAGGAAGTCGTGTTAGTAAGACTATTTATAACTCAAAAACCGCTAAATCGATTTGAATGAAAATTGGTGTGGAGGTAGCTTAGAACTAAGAGACGGGCATAGGCTCTTTCTTTTTACTTTTACCGAAAAACGCGAACGGGAACGGGAATAACGAGATTGCGCGTACGAAGTCGCGGGCTGGATCTAGTATATTATAGATTTCGATAGAAATGCATTAGGTCTAATGTGAAAAGTCAATCAAGAAACTAAATATTTTCTGTTTTGTTCGATTACTATAAGTCAACCATAAATGAACAATGATTAGTAAGGCCATCATTGGATTTTCGACTACATATTAAAATAATACAGTTGAAAATCTAATAAAGTTTCTGTTAGAAAATATCATCAGTTAAGTCGCCTCGGTACACCAGTCTGTTATTAACTTTTATTGGATTTTATACTTGATATTCAACAATAAAGTTATAAATTTACGAGTAAATTGACTAGTGTGTGGCTAACCCCTTATTTTCCAATGTCGTTAGCACTATATACACGGAGATAGCTAGAAGTGTCATCCTGGGTCCTGGGTCCACTTCGAAGGACATGTAGTGAATACCTTTTGTTTATATTGAAAACAATGGACTAACTAGTTTTAGAAGCGTTACTCTTGAAAATTGAATTTGTAAACGTAGTGTCGCGTTTGTTCGTTTTTAAAGAGGTTTTAAGTTGTGGAGATTTTTTCACCGGAGACGTTAATAGTCAAATTGGAATATGGGGTAAATTGGTTATTAACTAATTAACCTAAAAAGTATATTTTTGTTTTTCAAAAATAAATAGCAATGAAATCATATTTTTACTATATAGCTTTCCTACCGTACAGGAATCGAACCTGTGATAAATTATCATTAAAACATGGAATTCGAATATTGACTTACCTAACACAGATTCGTTGTCTAATAATGTCCTATTCAGTTCCGACATCTCTGTGGCTTCACTAGTGAAGGACTGAGGCGCCTCGTACTTCCTCGGCGGCTTTGACACAGGATTCACCTCCATCTTCAACGCCTTCTCAGGCTCAGAAGCTTCTGACGCCTCTATTAACACGTCCCCATTAGAAGAACGAGTATCGTTCTTAATCAGTCTTTTAATTTCATTGTTTTGGGTAGTAAAGTAACAGACTACTAGCGCAGCTCCAAAAATTATAACTATAGCTGTTAGACAGCCAACTAAAATTGCGAAGGAATCAGTGTCCATGCCAGCTATGGTACCAACCCCTCCGTATCTTGAAAGCACTAGGGTCAATGTTTTCTCATCGCGACCCCCAGGGTTCTCAGCGACACACGTATAGTTTCCTCTATCACTGTACCTCGCATATATTATCGTCAAATTCACCCATCGTATCAAATCCATAGTATTCTCAGCCACCGTGTATCTTATCTCGCCAAAAGCTTTCATCTCAATAGTTTTCCCGTTAAATCGCCAACCGACTTCAGGTGGTGGGTTCCCCACTACTTTGCAAGTCAGAGTCACGTTTTCATCGTAACTTTTCACCGTTGCGTCTGGCACCGGCTCGAGTATTGTCGGCCGGCACGCGAAGTTCGACGAATCTAATTCATTCCAAAGTTTGTCTTGTACGGATGTCGGTTCCGCACACGACGTGGGAGGGGTGTACAGGTTGTGACTGATCACCCAGTCCCGGAACGTTTGCAGATTGCAGTCGCAACGCCATGGATTGTTGTGTAAATCTAACCCGGACAAGTTTCTCAACCCCATCAAAGTTTCCGGCTTCATATGATTCAAATTATTCCCATTGAACCGCAATATTTTCAACTGCGGCAAGTTGACGAACGCTTTAGTTCCTATACGGTGTATCCTATTGTTGCTCGCCTCCACTTTCTGAAGAAACTTCAAATTGCGAAATATGCCGTCGTCCAACTTATCGATAAAGTTGTTACTTAAGTTTATTAATCTCAGCTTCTCTGTGCCTTTGAACGTATCGGGGTGCAGTGATCTGATTCTGTTTTTCGATAAATCTAGTTCGATCATGATTGCGAGAGTAACGAACGCAGTTTTATGAACAACTTCGATGTTGCACTCTTTGAGGAATAGTTTTTTTAAGTTGCTTAGGCCAACTTTTTTGAATGCTTCTTGATGTAGTTGTTGTAGATTATTGTTGGATAGATCTAGTATTTGTATGTCGTTGCTTAAGTTTGCGGGAATAACTTTCAAACTTGAATTAGAACAGATAGCTGCTTTGTTCCCGGATTGCCATCTACAGTCGCAAGGCCTCTGGCACTCTGTAGTGAAGTCTGCCACCGTGGTGGTGAGCAGCGCGAGTTGTATGCACGCGATTCTCATCCATGTCGTCCAGTACTTATAGTCCATTTTGCTGTGATGTTGGTCATTTCTTCGTGCCGTAGCATACCTGGAGCGTTATCGTCAGCCGACGCATTGGTGTCTGAAACAAACAGAAATTGAATTTTAGTAAAAGCTTTTAATATTTTATTCCGTGAATGCAATATTGTTGAACAATGGCTTTTGAAACTGCAAAGAGAATGCGTAATCGGATAAACTACTTGTGTAAATCTTTTTACCGTTCACGGATCCTTCGTGAGTAATAAAATGAAACGATTTTCATAAAACAATTTTTATAACGGAATGAGTAAGCATAAAAATGTTTGCGAAATTTTACAGGAGAAATCGGCAGATAGTCTTGTTTACGTGGTTAGGTTAGTACAGATAGTAAATTTACCTAACCAATCAAATTTCAACATTCTGAAACAAAATTTGGAATCAATTCCATTACAAATCATTTTCTAAGCCCCAACAAAACTTTATAAAACGAAAATATACCGCAAAAATGGTTTCTTTAAACCATTTTCTTGAAAATATTTTGTTGAGAAATTTCTCGTGGAAGGTGCACTGAGCAAGGTGGAAGAGTTATGGCGTAAATACGTGACGCAGCTCAAATAGCTGATAAAGTATAAATAGAAATAGCTTCATCCACTCTTTATAATGCTTTAGATCAAGCTGAAGAGTGAGAATGGATTTTGAGGTGAATTTATTTATTTATTGGTGAATTAGAGGTTTTATGATGTACCGTAGTCCCTCTATTAAATGACTCTGGGTACGGGTAGCAAAAAAAATCAGAACTAAATCCTTACTAAAGAAAAGATAAAATAATAATCATTAAATGTGTCTGAGTTATTCGACAGACATTTAATAGTAATTTCGACTATTGTCTATATTTTTAAAGACATAACATAACATAACATCACGCCTTTCATCCCCGAAGGGGTAGGCAGAGGTGCACACAGACGTAACACCCACTTTTCACTATTTATGTTATGAGTCCCATGTAATAGGGAGTGAGCCTATTGCCATATACCGGGCCCATTTCCAGACTCCGTGATACTATTGAAATTTTTTTTAAAAACCCAGTAATACTTTGCCCGACAGGGAATCGAACCCGAGATCCCTTGCCCGGCAGTCGCACTTGCGACCGCTCGGCCAACGAGGCAGTATTTTTAAAGACTTAGAATCAATACATAGTATAAAACAAAGTCGCTTTCGCTGTATGTCCGTATGTATGCTTAGATCTTTAAAACTACGCAACGGATTTTGATGCGGTTTTTTTTAATAGATAGAGTGATTCTTAAGGAAGGTTTGTATGTATAATACATGCATATTGCGCCCGTGCGAAGCCGGGGCGGGTCGTTAGTTTAAGATAATTAATATTTTTGTTATTTCAAAATTCACAGACGTTTTGGTTCTGGAATTAGGTACTGCTATTGAGAATTTTAAAACTAAAATATCAACCACTGAAACGTACACCTAAAGAGATTACCTAATACGAAAAAAAATATTATACAATAATATACACAAAAATATGTTTATGAAAGAATTTACGCTTGAATGTTGCGATGTAAAATTTATAACGAAAGTGAGTCCACGTCAGCAGTTTAAGGTGTGTATGTGCGTAGTTCAAAGTGATTTACGTCACGAAAGTCAATTAAATCAAAAGGTCAAGATTTTTTACGCATACCATAGTTATATATCTATTGTGACAACGTTTTCAGGTTTAATATACTTAACTCGCGGGTTACTCACGTGAGAAGACTGAGAAAAGCTCTACTAGTTTCTAACCACAGAGGGGGTAGTCTACCGAGTGTAGGCTGCACGATATCGCCGCGAATACCCGCTAATGAGGCAGAACCCCTCTGTGGTTCGAAACTAGTAGAGCTTTTCTCAGTATTTTCATTTTATTAACTATTTGACGATAGTTATTATATGAACATATAATATTCTTATTAATATTATTCACACGTCCTGATAAAAGTAATATTTTGGATTTCATTATCAAAATTACTAAGCTGCCAGTCTTTTGGGCATCCTACCTCACGGTAGCGATGAGGAAAATGTTTTCTTTGATGCCTTATGATTTATTTTTATTATTATTATTTTATTAAGGTGTAAATATTTTAGTTTTAATTTTTTTTATATATATTTTAAGTTGTATATATTAATTTTTATCTTGTATTGTATATATTTAATTGTGTAATAGTTATTATTAATTCTAGAAAATAAAAAACCAAATTACTAATAACTAGATCTTATCAAAAAATCTGGTGTTAGTATGACGTCATATTTATCTTATTTACTTAATTACACCTTTTTTTCAATATATGTACATTTTACAGCGTGAAATTTATTTCGTTTTAGTCCCGCGGCGAAACCACTTGGAATAAGAAGTACTTTCGGTGTATAAAGTAAAAACAAAAGAATAAACATTATTTAGTTCAAAAAAATATTCATTGACTTTCGTATATGAAACACTTGATGTAAATTTGTAGGCACTATTTGCATCGCACGTGTTAGTCGACGAGAAATACCTCTTCGAGAATTACATGGCGTGAACTTTTGATTATATACTATGACTTCGGTTGCCCTTTCGACCAGTTATTTTTCGTTTTGAACGTTATATTGTCTATTGTATTACCGAGACAGAACCATTTTACTCCGTGACGAAACAAAATAACCTAAACCCTATTATTATGTTAAATAGCACATCTCTCAATTGGGTACTTGCCTGAATCAAAAATATTTCGACTGTCCAATACAATACAATATTAAAAAATAATCACGCTACCATTAATATTGATTTTATGACCAACTTCATTTTAGTATTTACTAGCAAATTTTTAACAAACAAATAAGTATGTCGTTTGATGCTAAAAAAAACGTGACGTCACAATACAAAATCTTGTACAAAATTCATAGAACATTGTCATATTGGACGTAGTTCGATAAAAATTGAATTTGCTTTAGTTATTGTTTTTTTTATGGCATAAGCCGGTAAACGAGCAGACGGATCACCTGGTGCAATGCAAGCAATCGCCGTCACCCATGGACACCTGGAACACCAGAGGCGTTACAAGTGCGTTACCGGCCTTTTGGGGATTAGGAGTTTGAGAATCGTTGGGGATTCAGGAATTGGGGAGATTGGGGAAGGGGAGGGTAATTGGGCCTCCGGTAACCTCACTAATACGACGAAACACAACGCAAGCATTGCTTCACGTCGGTTTCTGTGAGGCCGTGGTATCACTCAGGTCGAGTCGGCCCATTCGTGCCGAAGCATGGCTCTTCTACACTTTGCATTGTTCCGAGATTTGACTAGATGGCAAGTACCCAATTGTCACACTTCAATTACAACGGGTAAATAAACATTGGGTAACGTAACTGATAGATTGTGAATTGTCAACTGTCATTACGTCATTCTGAATCTGTGTACACAGGATGTAAACGAATGGCTCCCGAAGGCTGACAGCAAAAAATATTTGTCCAACTTTGATCGTTCTCATTATGTTGTTATTCATGCAACATCAGCCTTGATCAATTACAACTATTATTACATAAGAAAATATTTAGGACTGCCTCGTTGGCCGAGTGATCGCAAGTGCGACTGCCGAGCAAGGGGTCTCGGGTTCGATTCCCGGGTCGGGCAAAGTATTACTGGGTTTTTAAAAAAATCTCAGTAGTAGCACGGAGTCTGGAAATGTGCCCGGTATATGGCAATAGGCTCACCCCCTATTACATGGGACTCGTAACATAAATAGTGAAAAGTGGGTGTTACATTGTAGTGGCATAATGTGCACCTCTGCCTACCCCTTCGGGATAAAAGGCGTGATGTTATGTTATGTATTTAGGACCTTACTTCTATAAAAATAGATATAGTTTTTTAACATCACCTTTTTTCTTTAGAAGCGTTCCATTTACACCCTGTATGACATTGTGTATCGAACTATTATGACGTCATGATTTGGTTTCGATGTAATTTAATTCTTCTGCTTCGTCAGTCACAACGTCTGCGTCCAAATCTCGAGTTTAATTTCAAGGTCAAGTACATGTTTCTTTGATGATCTTATCCTTTTTTTGGTAAAACAATTATCCAAAGAAAGCGTATACTTCAGTTTGTTACTGCTTCCTCCATAAATAAATACCTTCCATATCTATACAAAATTTAATGCTATTGTTTTAATTCCAACAACTTTATCCGTCTTTCGTATAGAAAAAAGTAATAATAATAATAATCTTAATTGATTATAAAATGAGCAAAATACAAAATATTATCTCAATAAGCGATGTAGACCTTATACAGTTAGATGCCTGTACTAGGAAAGCCCTGTGTCACAGGCGAAAGTAGCTATAACATTGTATACTTATTTAGGACATCTTATTTCTATAATCCAATATTACTTATCATGTAAAGTGATAAAAAACTTTATTTCAAACACAAGTGGCATGTACAAATAGGTACATTTTTCTATATGGTTTTAATAATGAATACATTTTTTTACAACTAGAATATAATTATAATAATGTCTACGACATACAAAAAAAAAACCAAAACTAAACTACATATAAATCTAAAAGCGTAGGAGTACTCTTTAAATAGATAACCCCAGTAGGCGGTCAATTGCCGAGATCTTTCAAAGTAAATATTCAGGTTCACTGGTTCAGTGGGTGTTTGTTAGATACATATTACATTTCAAGTAGTTTATGTTGATCTGTGTATCTTAGATTATTCAAAAATGGTGACCACTCAGTTTCCATATTCTTGCGTGGACTGCGGATGTATTTATTGTGTTGAGTACACAAATCTGGGCTTAAAACTGGCAATGACAAAATAAATCAAATATGAATATTTCGTCGTGGTGACCCGGAGGTTTAAGACGCCCGCTTCTCATGCATGAGGGTGCGGGTTCGAGACCCATCAACGGCAAGTACCAATTAAACTTTTTCCGAGTCATATGTCCTTTCTAAGATTATTTGGACACTACTGACAGACTTATGATTTCTAATTATAAGTTTGAATTTGAATTTGCCAACCCGCATTGAGCAAGCGTAGTGATTGTTGCTTAAAACCTTCTACGTGTGAGAAGAGGCATTTTGTCAGCA